GGTCTCTGGTCTGTGTGGCTGTATCCCCCCCGGACCAGGGCTGAGAAGGGGTCCCGAAACGGTGCAGGCGGGCGGGGGGCACACACAGAGCCCGCAGCTCTGCAATGGCCACCCACCCATGGGCCACGAGCGGGTTTGCTCCCTGCTTTAGTCTCCCTTCTGCACCCATTTTGCTTCTCTGGTTTGTTCGTGGGGCTGGAGGCTGCTGCAGGAGGGGCAGCGCCTGGGGGTCCCAGCCCACCCTCTGCCCCGGGGCTGCTGGCCGGGCGTAGACGAGTTCCTGTAAGAACAGACCTTGAGCGTACTTTGACTGCACGCAGCTGATTTATTTTTCTCATGCCACTCAGGCAGCGATGTATTCCCTGCAGAGAGACCGTGGCTGATTTCATACCAGCATCGCATCGCGTCCGGAGCAAGGCACAAGCTGTGAGGTGCTGCGGCCCGGGGCTGCGAGCCCCCTGCACCGGGGTCTCAGAAAGAGGTGGGAAGAATAATTGTGGCTTTAGCAGCTGGGAAGGAACAGACCAGCAACGGGGGAGCAGGCACTGGCTGGGTGTAAGCACCCGCTTTTGCCACCCCAGCCTCTCCAAAAGCCCCGGCTCGTACCCATCCGTGCAGATACCTGGAATGTCAACCCCAGGCCTGCAGGTCCCCGGCGCAGGACAGAAGGGAGGACAAGGGGGACCTTTTTGGTGAGCGTGAGCACACCACATCGCTGAGTGAGCGTGAGCACAGCGCGTCGCTGCCCGCGGCAGGGTCTGGCCGCCTGTGGTGCCCCGGGGGTGGCGGGGAGCCCCGGCGCAGCCCCGGCCAGGGCAGCCAAAGCAGGCGGTCGCCCCCACCCCAAAGCCAAATCTGCTTTGCTGACCCTGCCCAGAAACGTGCTCAGCGCGAGCCCCAGCGCAGCAGCAGGGAGAAATGCCGGCCCTGGCCCCGCGCAGGGACAGTGCTGCTGTCACCATCCCCGTCCCCTCCTCAGCGACGCACATCTTCATGCCTCAGTTTCCTCCCTCGCAAAAGGCGGCGGTGATGCTCAGCCCCCTGCCTGGCTCACCCCCAGCACCGGGGCCGGCGAGCCGCAGCCGCGGGCCCCGGCGGTGGCCCGGGAGCAGCCGTGGGGGGGCTGCCCCGATGTGCACGGCGCGATGCCCCACGGCCGCTCGAGTGCCTCTGCCCCCAGTAACAGCGCTCGCACACAGACCCCCGGGGACAGAGTGTGGCGTGGAGGGGAGGGGGGAAGGCTTTAATTTTTCCATCTTCAAAAGCTGAACGTTCATGGGCCCCCCCGTTTGTTTGTTTTTTTTAAATGTCCATTTCCTCCTTCTTTTTTTTATTATTTACAGAAATAGCTCGTGACTCATCAAAATCTTTTAGCAGAAAATCTAAAACAGTGGGGTCATTCACTGGGAACCCAGCGCCGCTCCTCCCCCCCGCCCGCGTCGCACAGCAGCCTTTGAGAAGGGTATTTTGTTTAGAGATTTTGTGTGCGCCCGGCGACTGTAATTATGCTAGACAGATCGGGGGGTTATGGCTTGGACCCTAAGCAAACACGGCGCAGTCTGCACAGCCCGGCTCTGTGCTGAGACACGGCCGAAATCTACGGTCCCATTCATGGCAGGTTAACCGCACGCTGCGGTTGGGGCTGGGGTTTTTTGTTTGTTTTCAGATTGCATGCATTTTCTCTTATTTATTTATTTTTCTTTCGAAACTGCAAAGGGTTTGCTGAGGGATAAATGCCGGGAATGTTGCAAAACTCCCTTTGAACTGCACCTCACCAGAGTGGGGAAGGTCAGGGAGGTTTTTTCAGCCGGTTTAAATCTCTGCCCCCCCGCCCCCAGCCCAGGCGCTGGGGAGCTTTGGGGTGCGGGGGAGCAGCGGACCCGGGGAGATGGGGCGCAGACCCCGCTCCCGCCGAGGAGCCCGAGGCGCAGCCGGGAGCTGGGAGGACTCGGGTGGATTTACTTTGGCAGCAGCGGAGCTCGGCGCGGTGGCCAATGCCAGGGTATGTGAATGTGGGTCAGCGCAGTCACACACCTACAGGAATGGCCTTGTTTTCCAAAATACAGCCGGCTCCCCCGGTGTTCCTTGGGGTGCAGCGGTCCTGGGTCCATCACCGGATCAATCCCGGTGCAACCACTGCAGGGTTAACTCGTACACTGCAGGGTGCCCCCAGCCCCTCTCCTGCCCACCCCAGCATCCTGCTAAAACTGCTCAGGGGGAGTTTTCTTTAGAGGGGACAACGCTTTGGGGGAAAAAAATACTTTTTTTTGTGGAAAACGCTCTCGTCAGCATGCTGTGTACTTGGCGTCACTCAGCAAATTGTAACCCTCGCGAGAGACCTCGCCGGACTCATTCGCACCTTCCTGCTTGCCTCCATCCCTGGAGTTTTCCAGTCCAGGGCCGAGGCTGGAGCCCCCGCAGGACCACCGTGCCCGGGGGCCAGCAGCCCCGCAGCGAGGGAGGGCGGTGGAGGCTGGCTCGTTGCTGTTGGGCAACAGCGATGCAAAGCGGCAGCATGGTTTTTTCCAGGGCCCTTCGTGGGAGCGCGGCGGCAGGGCCGGCGGAGCCGCTCGCCCAGCTGGATGCTGCCGGTGACGGATGCTGCCGGTGACGTGCTCGAACCATCCCTGCGATGCAGCACACTAAGGAGAGGTCGGGAAAGGCTGGGCCCTGGCTGCCCTCGGCTTGCGCTTGCCAATTTCGCCTCCTGCGTCTGAATGAACGTGGGATGCGGCAGGAGAGAAACCCCAATGGGAGGAGGCAGCAGGGAGGCGGCGGGGGACGGCGGAGGAGGGCTAAGCTCGGGGTTAGGGCAGCAGAACGCAGGCCCGCTGTCAGCCATCATTGTGCTGTGCCGATGGGATGTATCCTGCCCAGGCCGGCAGGGAGGGGGCAGAGCCCTGGGGCACCGGGAGCAGGTACGGGGGAGGCATTTTGCCTTACAGCAAAGGGTGGCAAAAGAAAGGAGGGCGCAGACTTGTTTTGCAAGGTTGGATCCTGCCTTTGGCTTCGGTGTAATCCCTTTCATTCGGAGGGGGAGCGGTGCTGTGCCTCTGAGGTCAGGGGTGTCCCCGCTCGGGGCGCAGGATGCTCAGCGGGGTGGCCACAGGGCAGGCAGCACCACGGCCCCGTGGTGCTGCGGGTGAAGCCCTGCTGCTCATTGGCCCCCAAACCCCCGCAAAGCGCTGTCCTGCGTGGCGCAGCTCCCGCCGTGCCCGGGTGGCTGCCAGCCCGGGTGGCTGCCAGCCCGGGCACCCCTCAGCCGCCGTGGGGAGCCCCTTTCCCCCTCCAAGGCCAGGGCTGCGCAGCGGGGAGATCCTGGGCCACCAAAGTTGTGACTCAGCTTCCCAAGTACGCTTTAATTTTTTTTTTGTGGGTTATCAGGCCAAGCTGTCAGCACAGAGGAAAAGTGCTGCTAATTCCCAGCCGGCTGTGCGGCCTCACGGCCAGAGCCGAGCACGTGGCACCCGGGTTCCCGGCTCCGTCCTCCCCCAGGCAGAGCATCACCTGCCCGGGCAGCCGCCCTGCTCCTTCCCCCCAGGTCCAAGGCAATCCCAGGCCTGCTGGGTCTTCCTTGCGTCAAGCACCTTTGTCCAGTGGGGCCACGTCCCTCGGGGCCGCCCGGGAGGAGCGCGGGTGCGTCTGCCCCGGCGGGGCCTGGCTCACGGGTGTCTGAGCAGGTAAACAGGGAGGAATGCGCGGCAGCAGCGCGTGGGGCTGGCGTGTTCCCGGTGTGACTCACAGACACTGCCTCAGAGGCCGGCGATGCCGGCACACCCCACGGCCCCGCTCGCTGTCACCAGCACGGCCAGCTCCGCGCTTGGACGCTGCTTTAATGAACCCTTGTGGAAAGCTGGCTGGGTGCTGCTGGGGCTGCGGCCAGCGGGGCCGCGGCAGGGGGGAAGGAAGTGCCCCAGCCACTGGCTCCTGGCGGGGTGACCTGCGCCGCGGTGGCCCTCCGGGGATGGGGCGTCACGGTGTCAGGCGATGCTTCACCCTCGGTAACAGCAATGCACAGAGAAAGTGGCAGGAGCCGCTGGGGCTCTCCGTGGCAGGAGCACTGCAGCTGGGAAAGAGGCTGCGTGGCCCTGCATGGTGCTGCGCCCCCCGCTGCGCCCCCCGCTGCGCCCCATGCACCCACTGCTGCCCAGGCAGGGAGCACTCGGGGCTCGGTCCCTGTCGGGGGCCCTGTTTTCCTGCCCTGCCAAGCAGGACCGTGATGGGCAGCGCCTGGCACAGCGGCGTGGGCAGGATGGTGCTGGCTGGCTCTTGGGAGGACACGGCTCCAGCAGCAGGATTTTAGGGCCGCTGTAGGCTGCAGGCGGGAATGCTCCTCCTGGAAGGATTTTCTAAAAGGCACAAACCATAGTGACAATTCGGCTTTAAAACAGACCGATTCTTGAGGTCTTGCACGACCCTCTCCATCTCCCCGGCTTCGGGCTGGAGCTTTCAGAAGGACCCTGAGCACGCCGGGTCCCTCCAGTCCCGCTGCGCTGCGCCCCAGGCTGCCTCGTTTCCCCCTCCCGACCCATGTCCTTTACGTGTGGCCGCGGCGGTGACGTCTCCGCGCCTTCCCCTTATCCGTCACCACGGTAAATGCTGCACCACCGCGCAGGAGAGACCCGATGGCAGCAGGGTTACGGCAGCAGCCAGCAGGAAAGAAGCGAGACGTGGGGCATCACCGGGGCTGTCCCGCGGGTTCAGCCCTGCTCTGGGAACCCAGAGCCGTAGCTCTGGATTGCAAAATCGAGCTGTCGCCCAGAGCCCCAGCGTGTCCGGGAAGCGGTGGCCGAGGGAAGTGCCGGCTCGCAGTGACCCCCGGCCCTGCGCCGCAGGCTGGTTCAGCTCCAGGCTCATGCTGGCGGCAGCGTGGCTCCAGCCGAGCCCCGGAGCGATTGCAGCCTCTTTTTGTACGCTTTGCAATGCTGGGCTTTTTAAAGGCAGGAAAACACAGCAGTGTTATAAAAAAACCACTTTGAAAATGTCCCGCCGGGTCCTACATGACGGTCTGCACGAGGACGAATCCTCGTGGGGGCCCTGCAGGGACACAGCGCCAGAGCAAACGCAGCGAACCCCGGGCTGGCCCACTGGGGAAGCGCTGCTACTGCTTGAAACCTCGGTTTCACGCCCTCGCTCTCGGGGCTGATGATGGCAGCAACGCTGTCACCTCTGATCCTGGCACCTCCCGGCATCGCCCCAAGGAGCCGAACGTCATTTACCAGTTGGGGAAACTGAGGCAGGGAGGGGTGGGGAGGCAGAGGCTCTCCCGAGGAGGTGCCAGCAGAGTCAGGACAGAAGCACCCTCTGCTTCCCCGCCCGGGTGCGGAGCGGCCAGGCTGGAGCGCCCACGCCAGGGTCCCGCGCACGGCTTTGCCGCAGGGCGGGGGCAGTTTCGCAGACCCACTGCTCCCCACTACCCCCAGGCGTTGGGGGGCGAAAGCCAACGCTGAGCCCAAAGTGCAGCAAAGCTGCGACATCGCAGTTCCGAGGCTGGCCCCGGGAGCCACGCTACCCCTGCCTGCCCTGCGCCTCTCCCCTCCCCGGCTCTGCTCCATCCCCCGAAAGAAACTTTTCCTCCGCCTCCTGCTCCGCGCAGCGCGGCGGACGCGGGCGGTTGTTTGTTTGTGCTCGCAGCCTTTTTTTAAAGGTTTTTTTTTTAAGGAATTGGGAGGGAAAAAAAAAACCAAAACCCCAACCAAGCCCAGCCCCAGCCCCGCGGCCCCGACCGGC